TTGTGTTTGTACGCGTATGTATGTGACTGTATGAGTCGATGAGCAAAGACATAGGCATTTTCAAAATTGATTCAAATATCTTTTCTTCTTTTTCTTTTTATACACTAAAATTTGTCTTTAACAAAATTATAAATGTTGTAAACGATGACAAAAAGAAGCAATTGTTCCTAATATTAGATTATGTTTGTAAAATTTGAAATTAGAAATGCATATGTGAAAACTACAAAACGTATAAAAATAAAATGTTCATAAATGACAAAAAAAAAACTATTATTTTATACATTTCACTAAGACTTTTTAAATATACAGATGTTTGACATGATAAATTTGATACTATGAAATTGATTCTTTTTAGAATAAGATCGATAGTATAAATAAATATTTATGCAAGTAAATAGCCTGTTGACTGTTATCAGTAGTACATTATTGTCTATCGGTAGGGGAGATCATCTAATATATAGATAGTAGATGAGTTTGTGTAGGTATTTATGAAATAGTAGCACTTAGCAAGGTTTAAATAAATATCAGATACCGCAGCGAAAACAAATCCTAAATGACTTACTTGTTAAGAAAATAAATATTACATTAAACAAGTTTTTCTAATGATGAGGTTTGTTTTTAATAAACAGTAGTTTAGATATGAAAGTTAGAAAGAAAATAATTTTCATTTATCGGATATTATCATTTTTCTTGTTTTCATGATAATACAATTTTGGAAGAATAAAATATTTAATGAGTTTGTATAGTTATGAATCTTTTCTTACATATTAAATATTAATGAGAATCATCATATCTGACTGCAAAGAGAATATTATAAGATTTTGTTTTTTTTAAATTGAATAAAACCATAGTTTTCGACGACTTTATGTGTTGGAAAAAATTTATAAAAAACTTTTAAAACGCAATCAGCAGTTTCTATAGTATTATTAATAATTTTTATACAATCATATTTGTCTATTCTATTTAATGAATGAATTTCTTAATATATTAGTAATCTTAATAAAATTTATCAGTTCTCTATTGACATAAATAAAGATAGTGGAAGTCATGTTATACCTAGAAAAAAAAACCTAAACGCATGAAAAAGACTAAAATCTATATTAAATCATAATTTCACGAATTATTCAATTGGTATCAAAAGGATTGTTCAAAATATTCATTTCGAAGCCATTAAAAAGCAAGTTCTAATAACGGCAGTCTATGTATATAAGTAATGAATATAAACAAGGCAACAACTTCCATTTTATATGTATATTTTTTTCTAATATCTGTTGTCGGTATTTAAACGTTTTCTATATGCAGATTTTTATATTGAATAAAGTCATATCAAAATGTGAAGATCAATATTTTAATACTTCTGATAAGTGTAGTTATTTTACGATTTCTATTTCATTACGAAGAACAATAATGATAGAAACAATTGACAGAAAATGTGAAAAACTAATAGTTTATTGATCAGTCATGACGCATTCTGAAAACATTCTAATCAAGCTGAAATTTTTACCACAAATCAAGTACTAAAAATATGGGGACAAGAATTGGAGAAAAAAAATTTGAAGTAAATTTTTACGATTTTTTCTGGAAAATCCTGGTTTTCATAGGATCGTATCCTGATACATTACAGCTCACATTAAAATTTATGCATTTTTTTGGAGATACCTAAAAACAGCATCTCGAAGGTAACTTTAACTTCTTTCAAAAATTTCAGTTTCTTTCTTTTTTATTGAGAGATACATGTAAAAGTTCCGTGTTATAAACCAGATCTTGGCTGTCAAGACTCTGTAAATCTGAATAGGAATGCTAATAACAAAAATGATTGATTAGATCTTTGAAGAGTACGTTCAAGTATTACCGGTAAAAGTTTCAATCAGATTGAACAAAGTTAGATGAAAGGAGGTTGTAAACAACTAGAATGCAGCTCTCTGGACAACTAAGGTTATTGAAAAGTAACTGTAAAAATATACTTCGAAACTTTTTTCTCGAATACATGTGTTATGACCTATATTTTTTTTAGATGCAGTCATAAGGATTCTTCCCTCTCTTTCTATGGAATTATATATATATGCATTTATGTTCTTATTCTTTACTCTTATTGTTAGTCATACACCACGGCTTTTCTCATCCTTTCATATATGTTGGAAGTTATCATTCCGTTGTATTCGACTTTCTTTGGTTTTGTTTTATAGATGTTTCCTTCCTTTGCTCATCGATTATGGGATTTCCCATTAGGTATTTTCCAGTGCTTATTATCACTCAATATATGGCGTTACGTTGTTGTGTAGAGAATGATTGGATTAGAGATAGATACACTTATACAAATAAAGTACAAGTGGGATTAAGATCTCACAACATGCTTCCTTATTTCTGATACTCTATCTGTGGTAAAACTTTCAGATTCATCGATTATACTGCCTTTAAGGACTACATACGGTAAAAAAACAACGGGAAGGTCTCGTAATCACGAAAAATTCAGTTTATCTATTGATGCTGAGATTTTATTTTATGAATAACACACAACTAATAATCATTAAAAGTATTATATTAATTCTTATATATAGAAGATTAAATGACATTTTGGATTATTTAAATAACAAATTTTAATGTAGGAAATGTCCTTAAATTCAAATCAAAGATCTGATTAATGGTATAAGTTTTTAAAATAGGTACTAGAAACGTTTTTTTAATACGCTACTTATTAAATTTTAATGTATACAAGTATCTAAACTTTTATATATTGACTAAATAAAAAGAAACTTCTAAATCATAGAATAGTATTGTTTTACCTCTTATACAACTAGTTTTCACAAGTAAGGACATTTTCGTCATTACATATTTTGAAATAATTGTTTTATTATATTCTCTAAACATCTTTGCATTTGAAGCAATATCTTTAGCTTGTATTTGAGTTAAAATTAAAACTCAGCTTATTTTTATCTATCATTGCATGTCAGAATAGTATGTAACTGTTTATAAAAAATTTAGTGATGTTAATTCATTCTAATCAATAAAATAGCATACTATCGCGTCACGACGTGAAGTATTTATTCGATCTATAAAGTATAATATCATGATATCTAGTGTTTGTCACAATTGAAAACTAAGATGAATATTATCAAGCAGAATAAATTAATAATAATAATAATATACGGAAGAAGACTTCACAGTTTACATATACATAATTATTATTTAAAAAAAAACAAAATATAACATTTGAAATAACTATTATTAAATATGGTTATATTTCTCATCGATATAAATTCATTACGAAAGTTCAGTAACTGTACAGAATGAAAACATGATCAGAATTTACAAAAAAAAGTTTTTCATCTGTTTCAATATTCGAATAGGATGAAGTGTCATCTGTCTATTGAACTACACAAAATAAATGAAAATCTTTTGCAACGTTTTAAATTAAGTCCAATATAAGATAATTCGTTTTTTTTTTTTTTACAAACATTCATTTAGTATATCAAGCCGAAGAAAAGCATATAAAGTTTCCAGAAAACATGTGATTAATGAAAAAAAAAAGGTTATTTCATCTTATGATGAAAATAAATCTACAAAAAGATATGTTTTATATTGTTATTATTCGACATCTAAACTAAACAAAACATATTTGCGAGTAATATTGATAAATTTTATTGATTTTCTTATGTTATACTTCAAAAATATTCAAGAAAACCTAATATACAAAAATAGATGCAATAAATAGAGTAAGTGCGAATAAAAATATATGAATTGTTTCTGTCATTTTTATTAAGAACAAACTAAACACGCATTTTCACGCATGTTTCTCACATGATTAGTCAATAATTCAAAGCTACCTTTAATATAGAACAAAAATCATCAACAAAAAAAATTCTTCATTATCATTTTTATTTCCTTTTTTTTTTCTCTATTCGATTGTATCGATGGCAAGTTGTTCTCCATCAGATCGGTCATTCAATAATACAACGTTATTGATGAAAGGCTGTAGTGTGACTTCGTACATACACGTTTTCTTTTCTACGTCTGTACGAGAAAGAGACAAAAATCGATGAAGCGTAACGTTTATTACCGACGTTGTAGTGCATCTTCCTCTCACGGACAATTTTTTCTTTTCTTCTTCAATAGATTGATGATCAACTATTGCTGTTTGACTAAAGGTGGATTTTATTTTAAAGTTATGAATCACTACAATGATACATAGAATGAATAGGTCAGTTAATAAATTGAATTTTTTCCTAGTAGTGAAATATATGTATGTTTGATTTTTTTATCTGTCTCCTTCTTTTTTTTTGTAATGATAGTTTATCAATTTCAATGAAGAGAATGCTTGTGCATGTTCGCGTCTGTCGCTAATGTGAATAAATTCCTAGTACGAACAGCTGTCGCCTACTTCTGCATAGGCCCACTCTGAACAATGGAGGACATCATAAGATGAAATTAAGAGCACAAAAAAAGAGAAATCGAACCGTACGAGAGAGTGTGATTGAAATTCGGTTGATTGCGCAAAAAAAAGGCGATCGGACAGTGAAAGAATTTTAAAAAAGACTTGAACACTAGAGATGACTCAAAGGTAACAGATGGTCCTTTTTTCATGCGAGAAAGAAAAGTATTTTTTTTTTGCTAACTATCAATCAAATTCGATTGTCGTTCTAGGATTCAAATGTGAAATATAACAAAGCAATAGAAAAAAAAAAAAGAAAAGAAAAGCAGATCGTCATTAATATTTCGTATTCATCGATTTATATATTTTTTTGTATTGTGTCACAGTTGTGTGTGTATATTAGTCTTTCTTTTCAATTGATTCTTTTTTACTTATTTCTGTGCCCATTAATACTATTTGTTATTCTCTTGACTTTCATTTTTTTATTCAATTTTTCAATAATACTGTTCCCTTTTCTCCCATCGTCATATCTTTTATTTCTTCTTCGCCTTCGAAACTGACTATTACAACGTCATTAAACCTGAATTATAAACGGGTTCGCACGCATTCGCCGACCACGTTGTTGTCTGCAATGACGTCTTCATCGTCTTTACCGCCGTTGACAACAGCCGTGGTACCGATAGCGAATGTTGAAACAAATACTGATGATAATAATAAACAATATTTATGTTTATTTTCTCTTATTACCGCTGGATTATTAGACGAAGATATGGGTTCTGATGAACAGGAAATTATCGAAATGATTTATCTTATTATTGATACAGAACAAAGAAAAGTATGTTATCTAAAGTATTATTTTTGACAAAACTATTGAAATTTAATATAATTTTTTTTTGTTAAATAGATGGTGAACTTGTATAGGCAATATATACGACCATCATTTATAGATACTTTGAATGATGAATGCAAACAAGCAAGTGGAATTGATGATACATTATTATTTTTATCAGAACTTGATCTTAATGAAGCATTGAAAAAAGTAAATTCTTTTACTGGAAATAATATCAATTTATTTCAACTATTAAAATTTTTTATTATAGTTTGATACTTTCTTGCGTGATCGTTGTCTACATCCAGATTTTGGTATTAATTTAACATTTGTTTGTGAGAATTGTCTTCCTTTACGTCAATGTCTTCATCCGGAAAGTGTTAAAAAATTAACAATACCATTACCAAGTTATTATTGGTCTTATTTTGATTTAAGACATGAATTTCAATATATGTATAAAACAACTGAATGTTACAATACAAATACAATGCTTGAAAGTAATATTCTAATCATTTTTTTTTTAAAATCATTTATGAGTATAAAGACCATTGACCTTTATGATTGATTTTCAAAAGAGTCAAAGCTTATATTAAAACACATTATGAAATATGATATTGATTTGTTTCTAATTCTGCAATTTTTTTTTTTTCATTCAGATTTGTCAATTTCTTCAATAGATGAAATTGACTATTGTATGCGACATGTTAGACATATGGAATTAATTGTTTATCAAATGTTGAATGATGGTAAGTTTTTTTGAAAAAAAATAGATTTTATTATTTAATTGTTTTAATTATTCATAGGTTATCGTTTCGAGAAACCTGAACAGATAATGGTTAATTTACAACAAGGCATATGGTAAAATATATGTTTTGAATTTTGATAAAGAGATGTTTCAAAACAATTTTGATTTCATTTTTGACTTATGTAATATCGAAAAACAGATAGACATTGAAAAAAATATATATATATACATGTATATTTAGAGAATAACATCTAAATTAACATCCTAAAAAAAATTATATTCAATGTTCTTTAATAGTAGAAAAATGCTATGTTGAAAACCATATCGGAAAATTATTTTTAATTATAATCTGATTTTTATTGAGTTAATGACTACTATTTTCGCTAATTCTATTAAATAGAAATCAAGCAAAAATGAATATGATAATTTTATTATAATGTTATTTTCAATAACATACTTTTTTACTATTAAGGAACATTAAATATAATTCATTTTGAATGATAGCTTACGAGAGAATCTTGCCAACTGATGCCTTCTGTTTGAGTTCATATTTTTCTCATAATTAAAACTTTTTATGCAGAGAAAAATTCTAACAGGACTTCTTCTATCAAGAATTTCTTCTCGAATTTTGATCTACTAAATTTTCAGTCTATTACATAGTATGAAGAGCAAAACAAACTCAAGAAATTTCACTATGGAATTTTGCACTATAAATTGATATTATAGTCCCTTAATATTATAAAAGTTTCAATCAAAATGAATGCTTTATTACTGAGATAATAAGTATGCACAGAAAAGGTTTAACTCACAAAAGATTCAAGAAAACTCGAGCTATTTAGCATTCAACATTTTGTGATTGAAATCATCCATTTTAGCTGAAACTTGAAGGAGATTATAATACCTAGAATATCTATTTTTTACAGTAGAATTTCAGATTGAAATTTCTAGATTTGATTTTGCTCATCATATTTCTAGAGTAGCCTGGCTACTCAGTAAAATTATTGTAGCTCGAAAACAAACGTCTAAATGGAGAGAATCCTTTTAGAGTTTTTAACAATATAAAGAACTGTAACTATGAGCAATGTATGAGCTCAAACGAAAGGTATCAGTTTGGTGAAGTTTTCTTGTTAGACACAATAGCTAAATACCAGAAATGGGATCAATTCGATTATCAGAAACCACGAACCGATCTCATCTCTGATGAATACATATCTTCAATCATCTTTCGCTATGGCAAACATACAAAAGAAAAAAATTAAAATCAGATCGAAAATTATGTAATATTTATTATATATGTATATTTATTTTAATTTAGTTCATTAGAAGATAATATTGAAGACACTACAGTCGTTCGAGCTCGTGGTTTACCATGGCAATGTACTGATCAAGATGTAGCCAAATTTTTTCGTGGTCTTGATATAGAAAAGTGAGTAATATTAGTTATGAAATGACAATCATATATAATGAGCTAATTAATAAGTTTTTTGAAAACTATCGATAAATTAACACTTAAATATTTCAATACTTTCGTATTATAACTATACTTGATGACTTATACAATATAATGTTAGTTTAATAGTCGACACTTGAGTAAAAAAAAGTACTTCTTTTTATTGACAACTTGTTCAATTAAATTATTTCTGTGGATCAAAATGATGTTTTATTGTATTGATACTAACAGAATTAGGAAAAGGATTTGATAGAAGAAAAAAATGCAATTGTTTAGAATATTTTTATTAATTAGCATAAAGATATTAATCGATTAAATATACAACAATAAAAAATACATATTCAATGAAGATGATTTTGTTCGTTATTTGAATAAAAAATAAATCCATCGTACTTTACATATAGATTAGTGCTATGAAACAAACCTAAGATTACATATAAAACTTTAAATTATTGAAAATGTCTTTTGTAGTTAATTTTCTATATTTCCTTATTATTTTTAAAAATTAATGACTATCATATTTTATCTTGAAAATTGACTATTTCAAGAGAAAATATCCAAAAAAAAAAAAATAAACTTTTATTTCTTATTAATATGTTGTACAATAGAAATAAAATTTGTTTTATTATATCAGCCAATACAAAAGTGTAAGGAATATTCATTTCACACAAATTTTTTTTAGTTACAAAGAAATAAAATTTTATTTAAGTATTCAAGATCTAATTGAGTTATGAATTTTTTCTTTTGTTTGAATATCTCGTTGTCTGACATTGTGAAATATTTTATATATGATTAGTTTAATTAGATTTGAAAAAGAACAAAACTATTGTTCATATTTAATTCAAATCTTTTTTTTCTTCTTTTTTATTAATCTTTGTCATTAAATATAAATTGAATGATTTGATATTTGTCATGATTTTTAAAATATCAAAGCTGGATTTCAGTGTAAAAGGATAGTAAAATCTTCTTCAATTGTAGTCACTTTTTTTAAAGCATAATTCTTTAACTTTATCACCTCAAGAATAATTTTTCTATTCAATAAATAAGATTAAATTTAAGTCTTATTCATATGAAAAAACAAAAAAAAATTTCAATTTTTTATTATTATAGGGGTGGTGTTGCTTTGTGTCTTAGTAGTCAAGGTCGTCGTAATGGTGAAGCATTAATTCGTTTTGCATCAACTGAACATCGAGAATTAGCTCTTCGTCGACATAAACATCATATTGGACAACGTTATATTGAAGTATATAAAGCATCAGGGCGCGATTTTCTCAATGTTGCTGGAGGTAAATACTCATTAGGATTTTTTCGTTCTTAATGCGCATATATTTAATCACTTTCAAAATATTCGACTTCGTTTTTTTCTTTTTTTTTTACAAAAGTATGTGAAATTCATTTTTCAGGTATCACTACCATTTTGAAATTCTGCCAGTCAAGTACTTCACACTTGCACACACATATATCTACATACATATAATAAAGAAAAGAATAAAACGACTAAAAGGAAAAAAGAGCTTCCTCTTGTGAAAGCAAATATTATTTATTTGTTGTTGTTAGCTTAAACTACTGATCATCTGATATGTCACTTTACTGCATACATGCAAAAAGCTAAGAATTCATTCTTTATTTGATGGCCAGCGCTTTCACTCTCCGTTTTTCTCTCTCTCTCTCTCTTTGTACTTCAAGCTTCCGGCCTGTCGAATTTGCTCTGTTTGACAAAAGGTCGTTGATCATTAGCGAATGACAACATTTCGATCTTGGTAGGTTATGCAAATAAAAAAAGAAAACGAGAGAAAGAGAAAGAGAAAGTGGACGACCATCTCTATTTACTTGTGGATTTGAAAGATTCACTTGCGAATAATAACGACTAGGCTAAAGAGAAAATAAAAGAAACAGACAGAAAAAAAGTACAAGAAAGACGATGAGACAAATAACGAATGAACGACTGCAGAATACATCATTATCAAATTGCGTTTAGTTCATGTCTATGTCTATATGTCTGATGTCTCGGTAAACATAAAAATGTATCAGACAACGATATTGATGAGGTTTTTTTTTTTTTTTGTCAAAGAAACATATTGAAAGATCTATAAAGACTAGCCTAATCTCTTTTATTCTGTTGTCGATCATCGTATCTACATCGAAGGTAAATAATTAAAAATCTTTTCGATGTATATACATTCGTTTGCTATCGTCATCATCGTTGTCGTGTCATCATCACAAATAGAAGGGCAAGCAACACAGAGATTGAGAGGCCAACAATAAGGTGGGCTCACTTTTTTTTTTTTGTTGTTCTTATTTCTTTGTCGAAAAGAAAAAGAAGAAGAAGAAGAGAGAAACAGAGAGAGAGAGAGAATGCCCAGTTGTCAGCCTTTATGTATATATGTTCAAGCTACTAATATGTCTGTCAACGAACGACAACAACGAAAATTTATCGTTCTTACTACTGATGTTGATGCTTGTCAGACGTGTTAAATACTTTACTACTTCGATCCGATGTTCTTTCTTCATCATTCATTCTCTCTTTCTCTCTAATCGAAAGTAGTGGTAAATAATTGACGCCGGTAAGGTGTCTCTCTTGCTTTCTCCTTCTTAAATGTTGTGCACCAAATAAAAGAAGAAAAGAAATCACGTCACACACAAACACGCGCAACAAATTCTCTAAGGTTTTATTTTGCTCACATATACACTCACACACACACACACACAAATACTCCACTGTTCAATGTGAAATCTCTCTTATATATACATACGAATGGGTAATACGAAAGGCGTGTCCTACAACGGCAACTTGTATTATCATTACTTAAACTACCTTAAAAGTTCGTATTTTGAATTTTTGAAAAAAATATTTTATTTCGTCTTTATTTTTATTTATGCGTAAGTCTTTTTATCAGTGCTAGCCATGTATCTGTTTCCAATTAGAATTGTCTTTGTGCACATATAGGAAAGAAAAAGAGAATAAACTTAAAAGTATTAAGTATTGCTCCTATTGTCGCTCATTCATTTTCATTTCATTTTATTTCGTTTCTTTTATTTTTATCTTGATACTATCAGTATCTTTAAATCCCTACTTCTTATAAAGAGACGAAAACGAAATTGAAGAATCATTTCATTGATAGACAATTTCATCAATTGACTATTTCAAATCGAAATAAAATATTATTTTTTTTGTCAATTATCTAGTAGAAAAATCAGACAACTATATGCAGAAATACGGTGAGAACATAAACGAAAAAAATATTTTTTTTACATTTGTTTGTTTTCTTTTTTTTTTGGTTTTGTTTTTAATTGAATATTTATGTTTATGTGTTTTCTTTTTCATTATAGGATCCAATTCAGAAGCTCAAGCATTTTTACAACGCGATGGCCAAATTATTATTCGTATGCGTGGTTTACCATTTGATGCTACTGCTAAAGATGTGGTAAGTATTATGAATCATATAAAATGCTATATGTGCTTGAGTGGTGTACTATATAAAATATTGTTTAAAATGAATGATGATTGGCTGTATCCAAATTTTCTAACAATTAGAATATTATATATATATCCGTGCGAATGCTTAAGTTTACAATACGTATATTTCTATTGCAGATAAATCGAGTCAATCATGATATAGAAAAAAACAGGTATTGCAGAAATAAATCAACAAAAGCATTCTATTGTAAAACATATGCACGCGGGGAAATCTTACCATCATTCAATTGTTCTTTCTCATTTTTTTTTCTCAATCTCTTGCGGGCAGCGGGAAGGTTGTAGTAAAATCATACTACCGAATTTTTTCTTACAATGCGAATGTTTGTGTATATTGTGTGAAGGGGAATAGTAACTGAAAAAGCACCAAACATTGTGAATGACAAAGTGATAAAAAAAAAATGGGATAAAATTATTCTATGGGATAGGGAACAGATTTGTGTGACTTATTATGGAGACGGGAAATGGGAGCATTTATGGGCGTAATATATATATGCCTGTGTGTATGAAAGTTGCTTTAACCAATAACACAACAATTTGGGAATTGGATGGTTGATGTTCATATAAATATGTGTGTATGTGTGAGTGTAATTTAATAATAAATAAGAAACTATTTAACGCCATAAGAAACGCCTTTGGGGAAAAGTGACATTGTTTGTTTTTTCACTCTAGGAAAATATATATTAATAATAATAATAATAATAATAATAATTGAAGAAGAAGAAGAACAAAAGAAATATATTACAATATGGATTTCACTAGTATTGTAGTATTGAATTTATTTCATTTACTTTCGGTATTTTCATTTCTATCGGTCAAGGTTAATATAACAAATTTATTTCAAAATAAAAAGCAAGACAAATTATATTGACGGGATTTATTTATTTATTTATTTAATATTTTCTGTAAATTGAAAATATAAAAATGGGTCTTCTTCTTTGAAAGAAAAAATTTTATTTTGCACGATTTACATGTAGATATGATAAATTTAGCTGATAGAAACAAAAGGAAATATCTTTTTTTTTTGTTTATTCTTTGGAATTGGTTGGGAATACCAAAAACTGGATCCAATCTTATCTGTTAAAAGATCTGTTTTATTTCTTTTTTTTTGTTTTTTTTTTTTTACTAAAATATTTAGATCGAATTTTTTACTCGTGGTGACATACCAACACATATTGTTGATGGTGAAGAAGGTGTTCTATTTGTTCATTATCCTGATGGACGAAGTACTGGTGATGCTTTTGTTATGCTCAAAACAGAAAATGAAGCAGCACAAGCATTACTTAAACATAAAGATATTATGGGTACACGATATATTGAACTATTTCGTAGTACAACAGCTGAAGTACAACAGGTGATTTGAATCATTATCTTTTTTTTTTCAATGAATATTTCTTATTTCTATAGGTATTTCGTCGAAGTCAAGATCCAAAAAATTTTCAAACATCATTAAAAGATATTCCATTTGCACCATTACCGATGTTACCACCAGAAATGTTAAGCGGTGGAAATAAAAAAGATTGCATTCGTGTTCGAAATTTACCTGTAGAATGTGGTATTGAACAAATATTAGAATTTCTTGGAGTTCATTCACAACATATTGTAAGAAAATTTTAATATTATTTTTACATCGATAATATCATTTTATTTCGTTTAGGTAGCACAAGGTGTTCATATGGTTTATAATGCACATGTATGTTTTTATTTATATATATATATGATGTATTTAAAAAAATCTAATATAAATAAACTATTTTTCTTTTTTATTTCCAAAAGGGTCAACCATCAGGTGAAGCATTTATACAAATGAATTCAGAAGCAGCTTCATTCAATGCAGCAGCACATAAAAATAATAAATATTTATTTTTCAATGGTAAAAAAAGATATATTGAAGTAATTCAATGCTCAGGTGAAGATATGAATCAAATTTTACTTGGCCTTGTTCCATCGAATTTGATTCCACATAATGTTCAACGTCAACCAATGTTTTCTCCTCATCGAGGTAAATATTATTGAAATATTTTTCTTATATCAAAAAACATCCTTGATAAGAAGTTATTGATTGTGTCAATATTTTTTTTTTAGCTGGACCACTCGTACCAATAGCTACTATTGCACCACAAATGCTTCCACCAACAATGCCTATTTCTCTTGCTGCGCCATCTCAAACAACATCTGTATCTAATACTTCTCTTACATCATGTCAATCTGCAACTTCATCTGCTTCGGTCGTTACTGGTCCAATAACAACAACTGCTATGAATGGACTTCATCCGAATGCAACTTATTATCCTATGCAAGTTTTTTATTATCCTACGCCACCCCTATCTCCATCAATCTATTTACAAACTGGACAAATGCATCCAGGACCTGTTACACTTGTTCTACGAGGTAATTTTTGATTAAAATAATCAAATATTTTAAATAAATATTAATACATATTGTAGGAGACAATACCCAATATTAATGAATACATATAAATAAAAAACCAATTTATAAAGTTGTCTTTCGTCTCATCTTTTTTTTTCCAAAAACAATGCAGTGAAAATTTTGTTTTTCATTTTTTTTTTCCATGAAAGTTAAAATGTACTTCGCTTTAAAAAGAATATTACATATAAACTTCCTTTTTCAAATCAGCAGTGATTGATCTGTTGTTTTTCTTTGTTCTGTACTCACATCTTCATCAATTTTATGCATCTTCCATTGTACTCTCATTTGTGTTTTGTTTCCTTTTACATTCTTTAAATTATTAATAATGTATCGTTTTTTCATTTCTTTTTGTTCTTACAAATATTAGTACTTCCTGTATTTCATGTCGATCTTAAATCAATTCAGAAAACAAAAGTGAAACAATATAATTGAAAAACAAAATACTTTTTTTCATTATGATCATCTCTCATCATGTTTAGCAAAATTTTATATATGCTAAAATTGTACAAAGAACAGTTTTGAGTGACGAAATGTCATAAAATAATAAGTGTATATCTTGTTGAATTTTCTTACGTTTATTTTTCATCATAAAGTGATCATTAAATTTTTATATGAAGTTCATCGATATAGATAACCTGACTGAACATAATCACTTGGGAATAATATTTATTTTTCTATATTTACGTTCACTGATAAAACATGATTATGGCTTGGTTGTGTGCATTACCTATCATGTTATTATAATGAAAAGTTAGAAGTTTGTGCAACATAAGAAAAATCATTTATCGATTTAATAACTACGAGATTACATGAGGGACTTGATGATTACTGAAAAAAAAAATACTAATTCTAAAAGAAACATTGTATTTCATTCGTCTTATCAAATATGAAATCCAATCATTATCCATGCACACAATTGACCGATTGAGCGTGTTTTGCAATAAAAACCTGTAAATTATTAATGCTTTCAGAAATTTGTTTTAATAACCATAGAAGAAAAATCATGTTTGGTTTACATGAAAAAATATTTATTTTTCCTGTGAGTATTAGCAAAAAAAAAACAATCCTTGTATTGAAATAGAATCCCAAAGAGAGGAAAAAAGCATACGTCGGTACTTTTTGCATTTCTTCTGACTTTTCAAACTTCTCTATACTTCTCATACTTCCTCGTATTCCTTCATATGTGAGGAGAAGAAGCATACTTCCGAATCCTTGTATTTCTCTATCTTTATTTTCTCCTACGAATTTTTCACTATTGATAACAAATGAATAATGTTCAGAGACAGAAAAATGATATTTTCAAATTAGAAAATGAGAATTATTAATCATATGCCATCTAGACGAAATGAACGTCTAGTTTGTCGTTTCGAGCATAAAAAGTTAAAAATGAATGGTCCAAACTATTTCATGAAATATTATTCTGTCTTCTTAAATGGAAACAGTATCTTGGAAGAAGAGATCATGGAATCAGTTTTTTTTATACGACCGTTATTTTCTTTTTATTATTCGAATACTTAGAAATGTTTATTCCTGATGTTTTTTCAGAATAATGAAAAGCTGTAGACAATATAGGTCTTTCTTAATAAAAAAAAAAAAAGAAAATGGAAAAGTTACCGCTGGAAAGAGAATACATTATATAGAACTATCAATTTTCGTCTCTGATATACCTCTGCGAAATCAAAAATATGTTTTTGTTCTAAACTGTTTTAGTATATCGTTATAGCGAGATGCAATTTTAGTTGAAACTTCTCAATAATTTTTTGATTTATGAATAAAAGAGACGATTGCGACAAATGTAATGATAATGGATACATGCTATTCAACAATTCTTCATGACTGTATTAAACAATACGATTCTCAAAACGGATTAATTCTTAGTATCATAGTTAGATGAATCTGTAAAATGATCTTTGAACTAATCAAAAAGTTGTTCAAGTGAAACACAAACTGTCAAAGTCTGAAAAACTATTTATTTGTTTTGTATTTCAATATAATGAGCTAATAATCATTTGAATTCACACTGTGCTATTTACACAAAAAAGAGAGAAAATTGTTAAAACGACAATCAAAAATGAAGAAATGATAAAATAAGAAAAATAATGAAGATTTTTCTTTAAATTTCAAGAAGATATGTCATACTGAGTAGGCAAGACATTTTTATTTATCTTAAAATGTATCATCTCAAGAATTATTTCAATATTCAACTTTTACTTTACATACAATATTTGTTCTAGAGTTGATATTAGTCTATTAAATGAGATAGAATAGATCATATTCGACTTGGATCGATCTCTTGTCTCTCAAAACTTTGATTCGAATTCGATTACATAATTCAATTCAGTCTCTAATTTCTTAACATTAAAAATATCTTATCACTTACAAATAAGACATTGATAAGATAAGAAAAAAATAGAGCAGAATAGTTATCTCTAAAAAAAAGATAATAGCATAACACAAATTAATGAATTCCCTCTCAATTAATTAATGATAGCTTTCAGCTAAGGTACATTTTTTTTTGTTGAGTCCAAACTCTCATCTATCTTTATTATTCTATAGAAATTTACGTCAATTATCGATTGATCGAACTAGACTAAACTAAAACTGTTATACATATTGCAATCAATTTCACATTTATAATAGTATTCAATACGATATTATTCATTGTAATAAAGTTTAACAACAATGGAATGTAATTTAAACAGGAACAAAAGCAATGTGACTTTGAAGATAATTATCATCTCCAAATACATTTTGCTGCTTGTCGATTGCGATAAATTTCTGATTTTTAATATGTTAAGGGGTATTATTCATATACTCATGTAAGCATCAGTAAAACGTAACCAATGAGTTAATTTAGTCAACAAACAGTTCATTTCAAAAGATTCTCTATGATCCTTTATTTTTAATTAAATCTGGAATCATAAATAAGACGCCCAGTTTTGAAAAACAGGACTAGCGAATTGAGTAGATTTCTTCGGAACAATGTAGGTTTAGCAACTTTTATAAGATAACAATCAATTAATTGAATGCCAGTAGAGCTATAATTGAAAATAAGAAATCTTAATTTTCTATCGTTCCATTGTATCAACTGTCAATCTCAGCCTTCTTTTGGCTTGTAATGCAACATTCATTACTATCATATGAAAATTAGCGCTTGTAATCGGAAGAATTCATATGATACAAATATTTTGAATGTAACATGATGAATAGTTTTTATAGCAAGTACAATAGAATCATTTGTCTTAAACGATCTAAATCATTTATTAACAGTTTGATTAATTATTAAAATATTATCAATAGTATCAAGTTTTATTTCGTTGATATTCACTTCTAAGTTGATGCGACCCCTTTGTTATCTGTCATATTGTATAAATTTGATATGCTGTAGTTAAAAACCAATCAGTATATTTTAAGTTATCGTTATTTTTGCTTTCTCTTACAACTCACATGCAAGAATAAGCGTTTATATACTTACTACATTTGTATATTTTGTTATCGAAACTATATTAAGTTATTAATATGGATGAAAGATCAAATTTATCTATACCTAAAGCAAGTCGAGAAGGTCGACCATTACGTCGACGTGGTGTTTCCTTTAATGTTCTACCACTTCGTCAAGAATCAACACCAATTCCTCCATCCGAAGCACCTATTCTTGTTGATTATTCTTCAATTCGTGAACGTAAACAACTAAATTTAAGTGACTTTCTTCATTCAGACAATCCAATTACTTTCTTTCTATTTACTTTTATGCATGCTGTACGTTTTTTCTGTCATCTTTTCATATTACCATTTATTGCTATCAGATATTTCTATCGTTTAATCTTACGAGTCTATGGTGTACGACGTCCAACTAGATCAACAACAACAAGTGATCTTTTTTCAGTCTCGTCATCACAATTATCAACATCACAACAAAGACCTATTGTTGGTATATTAACATTAATCGATTATATTATTATTCAATTGAGTAGATTACCAGATACAATAAAACATATAATTCATTCAATACATAAACATATTGATAGAACTGTTTTAAATACATTCAATCTTATTGATGCATGTACTAGTTATCAAATAACAAAAACATATTCCAAAGTTAAAAGTATAGGTTTAAAAAAAAATAGTCATTTAAAATCGAAAACAAAAAGATAATTATTATTATTATTATTATGTATTCGTGTTTTTTATTACGTTGTTCCAGTGAAAATGAAACAAAGAATCATGTTAACTTTTTTTTTCTTTCAATGTTTGGTACGTTTTTCTCTTTTATATCAAATAGTGATAGAGAAGAATAAACTAAATTTGATTTTTCTCATATGACTTGTGATAATGTTTTATAATGATTATTAGCACCAATAAACAATCGTGCTGAACCCCATTCATTCATTAAACGATCGAGTTCGAAAGCACCATCATGACTTATATTAGTTTTTTCACGAATTTTATGCTGAAAATTGCCTTGTGAATCAAGATAAATTGGTAATAAAGAAATTAATGTTAAATAATCATTTTCGATTAATTTTTTTTGATCATCTATTGATAAACCTTTAACAGATGTAATTGGTTTACAACATAGATGATTTTCATGTATATTGTCTTTAGTAATTTCATCTCTACAATTTGAATGTATATATATATATAGATATAATGAAATGACTTTGTAGGAATCAATTTATGCTTACGAATTTTGCATTCGTGGTATAGAATGAAATACATTTGGATTGGAAAAAGGACTACGTCCATGAGTCATTCGTTTAACATTTGTTGTTGATCCAGAAATTGAGAAAGTAGCTGTAATGTTCCTAGGTTTTGATGTTGTGATAAGTTTTTTATTTGATAAAGATGTTTTTGATGATATTTTTCGTTTTGAAATACGCTTTCGTTTACTTGATATTTTTCTTTTTGAGGAACTATTAGTTGTACGAGTAGATATTTTTCGTGTGTTATTAGAATGTTTTTTTTGAGAAATGACTAAAATTGAAAAAAAAGATTAACTAAAAATCTTAACTGATGAATATTAGGAATAGTTCGATTACTTGGTCAATCGAGAAACTAATGAGGATACATATTTAAATATCGAACACTGTTCGACTTCGCATTAAGATTATACTTAAATCTTGATGAGACTAAGAAAAGTTTAAAAGGAACAAACGAAATCGTGAGTTTCGAGCCGAAATTATAGATAGTCCTAAAATGGTTTCAACGAAAACAAACATATCTTTCTTGAAGTATTCAATTTGCAAGGAAAAAAATAGTCGTTTACTATAGAAGAACACCATGATTCATTCTACTTCGTCATTTATTATCCCCAGAAAGACATGTAAGTTTTTGCTAAAACTTTCAGAACTATCTAATGACTATCATATATACTTGTAAAAAATGATTTCAGGGCGAAACTTACTGTTTCAAATTTTTCGAAAATGTCTTGTTCTCAGTGGAAATTTCATACAAAAGGTCATAATTATTCAATAGGAGGTCATGGGTACAAATTCTTTTGAGTTTTTCTTAGTTTCACCAATGCCTACTCGTAGTCGTTACGTAAAGTTAAACGGCGTCCGACAGTTAAATATATTTCTCTGTAAGATAACTAAAATCACAATAGAGAGGCTACATTTATTTGACGCAATATATCGGAAAAGAAAATCTCATCTACAATATGTCTTACCCGAAATTTGTTTTATTTTTCTTAATGATTTAGGATCGTTCATAATTGTTTGGGATGTTTCTTGACCAGTTTCACTTATTTTATTCGTTGCATTGATATTCTGTTGTTCGGTTTTCAATGATAATATAGGTGGTTCTAATGTATCATTTTTGTCTTCTTCATTATTAGTATCATTAGAATTATCTTGTACAATAACCTGATAAGAATCATACGAAGTATGTTGACTATCATCTTGAGTTGATGAAGATTGTTTAAAATTTGTTTCCATAGGATTTGATGGATTCAAAAGAGAATGATCTGCATTATTTCTATGTTTGATAGGATTAGTATTTGTGCGTTTAGGTATGACAGATCGAGCAGTAATCGTTGGCATTTTTTGTTTATTATTGCGTTTAAATCGTTGAATAATAGACTTTCGAAATTTTTGAAAATGATGAGAACGTGAAGAACTTGTTTGTTGATTTTCAAACGCAGTTGAATTATTTCGTTGTTGTTTTTCACCAATTAATTTAGCTTTCGATTTACTTTTTCGATGCCAAAATGCATTTGACGATCTAGGTAATATTAATGTTTGAGAACTTTTTATCATTTGTACTGGATCATGTTTGCAAAAACATGGTACAAGACCATATTTTTTAGATAAAAATGATGTAGCAGCAATAATAGTATGATTCGAAATAGTTTTTTTTGATTTTCGTCGTCGTTTTGTATAAATTGGCGAAGCTACAGCAGTCGCTAATTTGCGACTGCAAGCTTGCAACATATGATATATGTGTACAAGAAAACAAAAAAATAAAAATTTCAAAACCGAGTGTTATAAATTAATTGCTTATATGTAAACAAAAAAAATTGGCGCGTCTTATCATCTAGTTTCAAGATATTGATTAAAAAATTCTTTTTTTTTTTTTTTTGTTTTTTTGATTCAAATATGTAAAAAAACAACAAACAATCTATTTCATATTCACTAAAAGATTTCTAATATTAATACAATCGATGAAACGAAATCGATAACATGAATAAGTGCAACAATATTCGCTAGAATCCTTTATAAGAAGAAGAAAAATCCACATAGAGTGTCCTATTATAACTGAGAATAAATTGTCAACAATATTTTTCGTGATTTTTTGGCATAGAAAACAGAAATTTTTATCATAGATATATATTTCATCAAGACTTTTAATTTTGCAAATTTTCAGTTTTCTTGCTAAAACTAATACTGAAATACATGGATGAATTATCATACTTGATTTTTGTAATATGTATATTTCTTGACTAGTAATAATTATAAACATTTGATGACAAATAACTTTACAAAACATTTTTTTTTCAAAAATACCTAAATGATAATAAAACTCAATGCTTATGAACATACTCTTCATTGCTTTCTATGATCAATTGTAATTTGTGAGATATTTCGTCTATCAGGTTATGTTTTTTTTTTAAATTTCCTCTATTGTGCGATCAATATTTCATATAGTTTTGAGATGATCTAAATTCAAATTAAATCATTTATCATCTTTTCTGGTTTCGTAACTGTTGAATATTGCAAATAAAATTTGTCACTAAATCTAAAAGATTTTGAATATAAATACATTCCTATATAGTTAAAGCAATTTTTAGTTTTTCTATCGCGATTGATTACATTATAAAAATATTAAAATAACCTAGCATGACAAATCATACATATTAATCATGTCCATGTATTGCAGCATTAGTTTTAGTTAGAGATTTGAAGCTTTAGAAAACTAATAAACTTTATTAGATATATATGTAAGAAAAATTTCAAAGCATAAAAAATGTTGTCAATAAATTACGCTCAGGTATTATAGAACGATCATTATTATTAGAATAGATCTATATATATAATTTTTACTAAATGTATTTAAATTATAAAAAAAAAACTTCTTTACATCACTGGACATGTTGAATAAGTTGTAGTAGCATATCTTTTGTTAATTGATACATCTGATCACTAAGATAAACATCTCGACGATTTTTCTGAATAAAGTCTATACATAAATTAACAACATCAGTAAGAATTAAATTATCTTGTTGATTATCATTTGATGATATTGAAAAAAGACCGGATTGAGTATATAATTTTAATACATTTGTTTTATTAATTGTTTTCTTTAAAATATTGAATGCCTCGTCATAAATTGGACTTAAATAATATTCATCTGCTTTACGCATTAATTCAAGACATATTTCATAATTTAATACAGGTTCAAGTGTATCTGTATAAATAAAATATAATATTTGATAAAATGCTTCATATGTTATATTTTTTATTTTTATTGATTCTTGAACATTCGATGAATATTCATCAAATAATTGAGAAAAATAAATACATCGATTACTAAGTATATTACGATGAGATGATATTGTTTGTCCATCATCAAGTTGAAAAGTAACATCAGTTAAACTATCATCGAGAAGTAATTGTTTTAAATTTGTTGCTAATTCTTTATATGAAATATCATTATGAGATGTATATCCAATTAATTTAATACAATCAATTTCACACCAATTTCCAGCTGCACTACAATTAATATCAAGACGAATTTGATTTATTTCTCCACATAATAGATTTGGACATGGAACAGAAAAAATACGAGCTAAAATACATAAAATTTAAATTAAAAAAAAATGTTTTTGTTTTTTTGAATTTTATATTACGTACATTGAGCTTCAACATGTGGTGCTTCTGTTTCCCAAACAGTTTCCCAATCAGTATTATCTCTTCCTATATTTTGTAATATATATTTATATTGAATTTGATACTACTGATTTAAAGGAATTGTCTACTTACCATTGCGTGCAGATATTCGAATAACAGCGCCAGGATTATATGTTTCATATATATCAATTTGTTCTGGATAAACAGCTCGTTCAAATCCAACAATAATAAATTCATCATTTGCTCTATTACCTTGAGCCCATGAACCAACTATATCGCCTATTTATTCAAATCGAAAAACAAAATTAATTTTCTTTTGAAATATTTTTCTTCTTTATTATACCATGTCGTGGATAGACTCTTGGTGGCCCAATAATTTGATGTGCAGACCATGTACTATCATTGTATTGAGATGAAAATTGAAGAACAGATGAAGCCCCTCGAATAGTGAAACAACGATTTAAACAAATTTTTTATAAAAATTAATGGTAAACTTACATTGTTCTTCTCGTTTCCACACGTACGAAGTTGTCGTATTTGATTCAGTCATTGAATTAAATAATATTTATGAATAAAATATGGACTAACTTGCGTTGAAAACAATAGTGAAATCTTTGTTTGTCTATGTACGACACTTTTACTATAGAGACATGTTGCTCAACTGTTAGTAGAAAAAAGTGTAACCTTTTTTCAAGTACAAAATTTTCTTTTTTTCTGTCGTTCTGAAATTGCCGTCGGTGGTCGGATTTAATTTTTCAATAAAATATTTTTTTGTTATTGCACAATCATTAAATGTGGCTCGTCGTTTTGTTTATTATTATTATTATTATTATTTTCAATTCGATTTATATACACATATATAACGATAAATTTCGCTTTTTCTTTAACATAACCCTGAGCAAATAATGGGCTACAAGCTTGATTAGTAATCTAGAGAGAAAATGCTAGTATTTGTTGACATCACGGAATTAGATGTCACTCATTATCAGTCGCTAGATATAATAGAAAACTTGTGATTGCTAGATCATGCGAACCGATTGGAGAGGATGATGAAATAGATATTGAAAAATGAGAAAATTACATTTGAAATTATTTATATAAATACAGTCTATTTTCTTTCTTCAATTTCTAGATATTGAAATATGAGTAATAAGGAAGAACATAGTGCCGCTGCTGCTGCTTTATCAACTACTAAGGTAAATTCAAATATTAATTCTGAAAAAAAAATATTCTTTTTGTTTTTTTTTTTAAATAATAAACTAAACTGTATGTTTTTAAAATTTATTTAGAAGCCTACTTCTACTTCTTTGCAACACGATCTTCTTTTATATTTGACTACACATGATAAATTGAATACATGGTCATATGCAAATGAACATAATCTTGATCATCAACTTATCATTGGTACTTTTCGTAGTATTCAATCAATTGGTGATGTAAGTGAAATATATATTGAAAATTGTTTCTTATGAGTTCTTGTTTTTATTGAATAGATTATCAGTATGGAACAACAAACATCACGATCAATAGCACCAACTGATGAAGGAAAAACCTTAATTGCCAATGGAAGTTATGAATACAATTTATTTCAAGCTGTTCCTACTGATAAAGGCATTGCACAGTCCGAACTGATGGTAAGAGTTCATTTCTTTTTTTCTTCTTATAATTGTTATTTTAGTATGTAAATATTCGAGAAAAGTTAGTCTAATAGTCTAAAGGATAGTTATTATTGAGTTCGAATCTAGATTTGATCATTCTTTGTTAATCAATAATTATTTTCATTTTAGAAATTACCAAATTCTAATATTGGCTTTGCTAAAGCAATGAATAATGGTTGGTTACAAGTTGATAAATCATCTAAACCACCCATTGTCAAGCGTAAGGTAAAATACGAGTTTTGAAGTGAATGATGAGAATTTCTTCAAATGATTGTCTCTGATTCATCAGGATTTCTATCTTGATGCGGTTATCTGACACATTCTTAACTCGTTGTAATGTATTATTTTGTTTTCATTTTTATTCTTTTTGTTTTTTTAGGTTGATAATGTTCATGATGAAGTACAAGATTTACTTAAACGTATTCAATCATTACAATTATCTGATGCCAATGCTAAAGAAGTAGTTGAATTAAAAAAAAGAAAATTAGTTGAAGATGTGTAAGACTTAATATGTTTTTCTTTTTTTTTTTTTAATATTTTTCATTATTTTAATTTCTTAGTGTTATTAATTATTTTATTGTTACAAAATCAGCTGGTTTTTCAACAAATATATCAAAAGGTGAAACTGAATTAACAGCTGAAATGTTACAAACGTAAAAAATTATTTTAAAAAAAAGTATTAATTTTATTTTTTATAAATCATAAATATTTTCAGTGGTTCATGGAAAACATTACATTTTAAACAATATAATTTCAATGCTAAAGGAATGATGCCATCCTATGGATGTTTACATCCATTATTAAAAGTTCGAAGTGAATATCGACAAATATTTCTTGAAATGGGGTAAAAAAAATATTCGTTAAGAAATTTAAAAAGAAAATTTAATATTCATGTTTTGTCGAAAATTATTTAGTTTTACAGAAATGCCAACAAATAGTTTTGTTGAAAATAGTTTTTGGAATTTTGATGCACTATTTACACCACAAAAACATCCAGCACGTGATGTACAAGATACATTTTTCTTATCTGATCCAGCTATATCAACAAAACTTCCTGAAGATTATGTTGAAAAAGTTAAACAAGTTCATTCAATTGGTGCTTTTGGTTCCATAGGTTATCAATCTGATTGGCAACTTGAAGAAGCACAAAAAAATGTTTTACGAACACATACAACTGCTGTTAGTACACGTATGCTTTATAAATTAGCTCAAGAAGTATGTTAAAGATATAAATAATAATTATGAAATTTTGTATTTTTTGTTTTCTACTATGATTAGAAAACATTCAGACCGGCAAAATATTTTTCAATAGATAAAGTTTTTCGAAATGAAAATCTTGATGCAACACATTTAGCTGAATTTCATCAAATCGAAGGTTTAATTGCTGATTATAATTTAACATTAGGTGATTTGATTGGTGTTCTT